AAAGAAGAAATAGAAAAATGAGTACAGGACTGAGAGGAGCTTGGGGTAGTTGTGATTGTGGTAGATGGGCATTCAGAAGCCAGTGTGCTACCACAGGGACTCTCCTCTTCTTCATAGACTCCATTCAGCTCCTCTGGTGGACAAAGGGAGTGAATGAAGTCACAGCCGACAGGGATTGACTTCTTCCTAAAGCAGAAAAAAATAAGCAATAACAAATTTGCTGTTGCAGACATGTTCACAACCCTATAAAGACAGGGTTTTTCAGCCTCAGGTAAATAAGATGGAAGTCACAAGACCACAGCCCACATGGGTTCCATCCCTGGGGACTCCTTGTTTGTCTTCAGTTCTCCCAGCTGGAGGGGGTTATTTCTCTTGTATAAAGAAGGAGGATAAATGCTTCCCTGAGAGCCCCCAGCCTGGTGCCTCTCCCTGACCTGGAGCCTTCCTTGCCTGCAGTGCAGACTGCCCAGGTTTCAACAGTTTTTAAATCAGCAGAGCTGGTAAGCTTCCTCCACTGTCCTGTCCTGGGGCTTCCGGAAGGAAGGTGGACTAGGGAAGCATATGAGAAAGAGGGATAAAATGCAGGAAGAGGGGGATACATGGTTGTCCCAAAAGAGCTGTGGTCCAGAAAGGAGGTGGTCTCAGTTCTAATTCTGGAAAAAAATTAATCATTTATGACAATGGTAGAGAGCTAATTACCCAGTGCATACTAAATTCCCTCTTTTCATGAGTTTTCTCCTCAGGTCTTGCTTGTATCTCCTCTGCTCTGAATATTGTAATTACATTTCAATTAAATGTATGGACGGGATTCCTCTGTTTCTCCGTGGAAATGGGGAAACATCTGCTACTCTTCCATCAAAGACAATTTTCTCTCATTGCCCTGAGAATTTCCCTAGAACTTCCTCTCCAAAAGGAGTAATAACCTCATGCCTGCCATTGTTTCTCTGTAGAATACTACTTCCACCAGATCCCTCTACCTATCCATCCAGTCACTCTGCAGTCAGTGAACACAGAGCTGAGCACAGAACTCCAGGCACAAATATATATTTTCATGTAAAAAAATATATATATATAGTGGTGTGCACCATGTGATAAACTCTGTCCTGGGCTCCAGGAATCTTAGAGAATCCCAAATTAGTTGGTTAAAATAAAAGGTGAGTTTAAAAAATCATTAAGTGAAAAATAAATATATATAAATAATATCTAAGTATATATAAATACCTTATGTATTACACTAATCTTATGTTACATAAAGTAATATAAGTAAATATGCCTATATTAATGTATAATTATAACTTTGTAGACTTATGTAATTATATGTATAATATATACTTATACTTTTGTTACAATATCTATACTTTATATGTAAATAATATCTATGATGCATATAAAGAATAGATAATAAATATGTAAATAATATATACTTTCTTAAGTATATGAGTAAATTGATAATCACTTACCCTACTTATACTTGTATATATTTTATTTATACTAATGCATATGTGTATTCTATATAAAATTTTTATTTTATATAAGTATAAAAAGTATATAATATAAAGAATATAGAAGTAATTTGTATTTGTGCTTAATAGTGCTGCATGTAGTATATGTATTATACAAATAATGAGAAAAAATGTAATTAAATATATAAGGAAGTCAAGAGAAAATTTTAAGAAATAAAAAAATTGTACTAAGTCTTAAATTATTAGAAGTATTTATTTACTGGTAAATGGGATTTCTTTCTTTCCATGGGGAGAAAAAGTAAGAAACATTAAAGAATAGAAATGAAAGTATGGGAAAATAAAGAATAAATGATATGGCTGTGTTGACTGGAGTAGAAAAAAGAAGATGGGTTTGGAAAGATGTCCAAGTAGGAAGCGCTTAAAACAGAGTAGTACAGACCATTATATTGCAACAGGTTGGAATGAGGAAGATGAGGATTCAAATCACATTGCTGATATTAGTTCAGTCTGAGGATAGAACAGGGAATATAAGTAGAAATAAGACAAGGTTGAGCATTGCATGTCATTGTGAATCTTTTGTATTTCATGTCAAATTTGGTTTTTTAAGGATCTCTCTTGCTATAGTGTAGTGAACTACTTAGATGCAAAACTAGAAGCTGTTGGAATAATCCAGGAAGAGATGAAAATAATCTTAATTAGGAGAGCATCAATGAATATGTGAGTAAGCAGAATTGAGGTTTTTCAAAAATGGAAATTCCCAGACTTGTTTGTTGATTGACAGCATATTGGAAAGAGGTACAACATGGAGGAAGGAGTCCAACATAAAACTAAATTTAGAGCTGGGAATGTAGCTCAGTGATAGAGTACTTGTCTAGCATGTGTAAGACCCTGAGTTCCATTACCAACACTGCAAAAAAATACACAAAAACAGGTTTTTTTTATTTATATCACTGAAATAATAAACACAAATAAGCAAGAAGGTTGTTAGGAAAGAGAAGACATATTTCTGACATACATTTGAGGTAAATATAAAATCTAAGATACAAATGCTGAGCACGCTGCTATATGTACGAGTCTGGAAATCAAAAGAGAAGTCTGGAGCTATAGACTTCATACTTACCAACACATGGATGACAAATAAAGCTATGGGAATGCATGATATTGCCTGAAGAAAAATAATAAGAGTATGGCCACAGAATTGCCAAGAATTAAAATAACTATTTAAGGAATAAATAATGATGGTGAGCCAGCAGAGAACTGAGGAGGGATAGAAATCTAGAGGAGTAGTGGTCAAACCTGTAATCCCAGAGGCTCTGGAGGCTGAGGCCTGAGGGTCACAAATTCAAAACCAGCCTTAGTAATTTAGTGAGGCCCTGTCTCAAAATTTAAAATAATAAGAAAAGGGATGGGGATGAGGCTCAGTGGTTAAGGACCTCTGGGTTCAATCCCCAGTATGGAAGAAAGAAAGAAAGAAAGAAAGAAAGAAAGAAAGA